TACGACTGGAATTGCATGAGATAATTTGATCTAACTAAAATTTTTTTTTTGTTGCACTACTTATGATCGCCAGTGTACTTGAGTGCTGCCAAGGGAAAACTTACAATCGGGCATTCAACTATATTTTGTATAAAGCTTGTCCCCTAATTGCCGTCTAGGGAAATTTATTATCGGGATTTCAATTATATTTGTGACAACTCATCACAAATATAATTGTAAGCCAGATACTAGATTTTCCCTAGACGGCACTTAGGCGACAAATTGTACAGTATACAAAATCTAATTGAAAGCCTGATTGTAGGTTTTCCTTTGGCAGCACTCATATAATAAAGTAATAATCTAATTACACACGCCTTAAAATTTATTATGACACATCTATATACAATACACAAAGTTCAATTCGCGATTTGATTGGCTGGTCAATTTTTGTGCATATTGCCAGCATGTGAATCTATATATGTTTTTGTTTGCATGTGTACTTGCACATAAGAATACGTATAGCTGATCATGCATATGTATAGCAAAGTAAAACAAACAGAAACAAAAAAAAAGGCTGATTATTCAAAAGCTAAAAAAAAAAATATATATTTGGCTCTACACCTATAAGAATTATGAATACACAGCAGGAGGGATCAACGGACACTCTTTCCAATACCAGTGATCGAGTGTCTAAAAAATAGCCAAAATAGAAAAAGAGACTAAAGTTTATAGTGACAAAAATATCTCACCAAGGGCAGAGGCCCTGATAACGAAGAAAAGAAAGATGGAGAAATTGAGAACTGAAAATTTGAGTGAAAAAAGATAAAAATTTACGAAAATAGCCCAAAATCGAAAGATGAAACTGGCGACAAAGAAAACTTGAAACCTGCAAAACAGATAAATAAACAGGAGAATAATACGCTGAAGGGCAAAGGAAATATGGTCAATAACTGGTTTAATATAACTGAAGAGGAGAGGTCTTAAAAAAACGCATCTATACTTGAAACACCACCTGGAAGTAAAGACAACATAGAAGGTTCTAGAAAGTTCACAGAATCGGAATCAAGTGGAACGGTATCATGTGATACTGACGCTATAGTAGTAGACGTGGATCCTAAGCCACAAAACGTGATTAATAGTTTAGAATCGGAAGAAGTGATAGCAGATGCACAATCAAGTGAACTAACATATATCCCCAAGAAATGGACCAGCCTCTTTACACAATTAAGATGGGGACAAGCAACTTTTTCAAAATATACACCAAGAGTGGAAATTACAACAAAGAATAATAACACACTCATCTTTGATATTCGTAGTATGGACGACATAAAATGAATGATATTATCTCTACTTTATACAGTAAAATAGACAATGATCTAGTTGGGGCAAAATATCACTATACTAGGAAGAAAAGAACACATTTAGAACTGGTATTTAGAAGTGAAGATAGACAACAATATTATACAAAAGAAGGTATCTCCCTTTTTAAAAGATCGTTACTAGTTATATATCTACAAACCTGAGAAGAACACACCTAGCAATAAAAGTGAGAAAAGTTCCAATCGGTGATAAGGATTTTATATCCAACAAGTTAAAGGAAGCTTTTGAGATCTTTGGATCTATTAAATCGATTAAACCGTTAGAGTACAAAGATACCCGATCTGTACGGACCAATAGATAATTTTATACGAAACAACAGAGGACTCAGAATTAAAACAAAAAATTCCAAGACATACTAGTATATGGGGCCAAAAAGTCATGACAGAGTGGAAGACGGCTCCTAGAACTTGTTTTTACTGTGATCAACTAGGGCACCTAAAAAGGGACTGCCAACAATATAAAGAAGCAATAGAGCTAAGGAAACAGTATAAAAAATATAAAGAAGCCAAAAGACATAAACAAGAAAGGTCAGGTGGTAATAATCCGAATAAAAACTACACTGATAAAGAGCAGGATATCAAAGGCAGTGAGGAATTAGATGTTTTGGTGCAAGATATTGCAGCTGGTAAAGACGTGGAAATGCTATCCCAGGATGACGAATCTCTTGAAACTTTATTGAAAAAAGATAGAAATGAAGAAAATTAGCAGAAGTATCAAATAATACGATACAGCAAACCAAAATAAGCACGGACCTACAACAAGATGAGCCAGACGACCAATTGGATCCAAAAGAAGTAATTCAACAGACACAGAAACATATAGAGAGCACGAATATAAATATGTTAAATGTTGATTATAAATATGTACAAACACAAGCGAAAGAGAGTAACATGGTGGAACAAGTAGATGATAGATTTATAACGTTTATGCACAAAAGCCCAGGACAAAAAAAAACACACATTCATATGATAGTAGATCTAAGCCATATGAAAACAATAGTCTATCTAGGGATGGTTATAACAAAGGAACATAAGGTATAAATAAAGGTAAATCTGAAGGTACAAAAAACCTAATATATACGAGTAAGTATAATACTTTCAGAATCACCACACTTAATGTGAAGGGCCTTAATGATAGATATAAGCGTCAACAAACAATAACTTTACTTAAGACATATAAGATAGATTTGATTATGATACAGGA